CAAGTCGCAGCGAAAGCGAAAGCGCTAAAATGATAGTCAATAAAGGATTATTGAAATCTTGGTCCAATCAAAGTACTCCGGGATATGAAATTCAGGAACAGTCGAAATAGAACAAAATTTAATCCTCACCCATTTTCTCGTTGAATCATCTCCAGCAGCTCTCTCGATGGTGAAAAAGATCTTTCGCTGCTGCTCTGCTTCATTCCTTTCAAAATAATCATCTCTTCTATGCTGGTCTTATTTTTCTTCAACTCCTCAAGGATTAAACTTCTAAGATCATCAGGATCCAAAGTGTTTTTAAGGCTATCCTTTACTCGGTCTACTGAGCCTTCTCTGGAAATATTCCTGACTAGCTGTGGTGGTGGTGGAGGTGGTGGAGGCGGTGAGGATGGAGGAGCTGGGGATCGCAGATTGAGTGGTGAAGGGGATTTTCTGAACAACTTGTGGTCTGTGTGATCAGAGCTAGAGTGTACTTCAGCTTGGACTTCGACTACGTTTTGTGGTTTTGAAGGGATGTTCTCCTGAGGGTGACTAGGTAAAGGTTCAGTGCAAGGCTCTTTCACTTCAGGTTTGGGATCGCTGTGACTGGTTTCTGCACTATCATTCGAACTTGAGAATATCACCGTAGAATTTGGGCTTGGCATGGATGCGTACTGCTTTTTGGCCCTTTGTGCAGCCAATTTTCTCTCCAGCTCATCGCCATCATCCTCAGGATTCGGCAACCGTCTAATCTCTGTTTTGGCCACATGATGTTGAATTGGAACCACTGGGCATCGACTGGGTGGTGGGACTGGTAGAGGTTGCTGATCTTTTACGAGTAACTCCCCGATAGTTGTCTTCGGTGGAGGGGTTTTTGGTAGGCTATAAGCTGGACTGTTTCTACTTGCTGGGCTGCCTACCCGATGAGGTTCAAATGAAGTATCAACAAGAATTGGTTTGATCGAATGAATGTCGTGATGTGTATGTGGTTGGGTAGAGTCTATAGGGCCATCCATGGAGCTGGAGGCAGGAACCTGAAAATATAGGAAAATGTCTTCCGTTTGTGAGCAGAACTTCGTAAGGTTTGTGGAAAAGCGAATGTCAATTGATCGCTTTATATGAAACCATTTTTCTGATTTTTGCAATGGCTTACTGCAAGCGCGCACTTAGCTCGAAGAAATCTTTTTGGCTTCTTGCGAAAAAAAATCAAAATATTTTGTAAGCA